CATAGCCCTCTGGACAAACGACCTGCATCAGCCCAACACCAGCCGGAGGACCCTCTTCCTCCGAGGGCCCCTCAACACTGTCAGTGCCCCCCGTGAGGAGATCGGGCTCTCCCCCCGAGCCCTCCACTGTAGCTTCACATGTTGCTGCCCCTTGTAGCCGTCGTCGGGGGGCTGAGCCCCCACTATCAACTACTTCCCAGTCCTGACCTGTGTCCGGCCACTGCACATCACCAGACGGAGTGTCCTCTGATGAGACCTGCCCTCGAGCCACAGACTCCTAATTAATCACTGTCATCACACCCATCACCTTAGTATCCTCTGGCGCTCCATCAGGGTCAGCGGACATCGCCGGCGCTTCATCGCCGATAGCCTGAGTACCAACATTTGCCCACCCATGAGGTCGATCACGAAAGATACGGATCAGGTCCGATCGAGAGAATCTCTCGATCAGAGCTCACGCCTCTCGCCGATAGACATTGAAAGGGTATTGATGAGGAATAGGGCATCACAATAAACGATTGCAGGGCTCGAAAGCCCCTTAGGGTCATCATGTAGTAGCCAACGAAGAGTCATAGCCGCTCACAGACTCTCAGTGGTAAAAGCACGCATCGAATCAACGAGCCAATGTTTCCAATTTCAGAACCCCCGATAGTAGTACCAGTAGTGTTTCAATCCGAGCAGGATTACTCTCAGCCGCAACGTGTTCGAGTTGGACGTTGAGCATATCACGAGCCACTTCCGCACGCACTCCACTGCCAGGGTGCACTTTCTGAGATACAATGTACAAAGACTCCTACTATTGCTCCTACTACTACTACTACCATGGTCGCCATGTCGAAGCCAACAGCCAACAGTACATTCAAAGCTTCACTGTTCTTCAAGACCAGTTTCCGCTGTGCTGAGGTGCCCTCCTCCTTGAGTATCGCCAATAGGGCCATCATAACCTCCTGCCCAGCAACATATCCCAGGTCTTTCACACGAACTAGGCTATGGAATATATGTTCGCTTCCCTCAGCTGACCTCTGAGTTTTCATCCGAGTTAGGGTAGAAGTGTACAGAAACTAATAAGAATTTCCCGAAATTTCCGCAAAATTTTCATATTCACAGACAACATGGCATTCTTCTCTATTGCCAAAACCAGGAGTTGAGTTATGATGGAACGCTTCCTCGAAATCAGTGGAATTTCACCCTTCACATAAAAACACTAGTGGGAAAATATATTTCACGACTACTGCATATCGCGAATCTCGCGTTTTTCGCGGAGTATCACGTAAAACGAATGAAACTTCAATGTATACAGCTGAACTGAGTCATTTCTCCCATCCCAAGTACTACTACCGGTTGGCTGTGCAACTGAGCGCAGGAGGTGTCCAAGTTGGTGAGGAAATCCTCAGTAGTAAGAGTCTTGCTCGTCTTGTTAGCATCATCATTATCACCAAGCCGTGGCATGGTCAAAGTCGTTGAAGCTGCTGATGAGATGGAAGATCGAGCTCTTTCTACCATCAAAACAAACACTGTTGATAACAATAGGTTGAAGAGGGTATCCCAAAATGGTGGATCCTTTCCAGAACAGAAAACTGCATTTTATTCGATAGAAAATTTACGTTTATCGATTCTCCCAAGAGGCATGGACTATCACGCCATTTAGCCATAAGGATCTTGTGTTCCCACATAGGAGACTTTCACAATCCAAATGCATGTGTGGGTCAGTTACAATCCTGCCCTTTAGGGCAACTCCAGTTTAATGCCCATAGGCTACCTAACTAACGATCAACCCTATGAGATTCGATCCCAGAGTTGCCCACAGGTGCCAATCTCGGAGCCTCGATTGAATCATTACTAGCTTCAGTGTTCGATTGAAATTTTTTTACTACTACTATTTGTTCAGACTACATGGAAATTCTCACTCTCGAAATAGTGGAGGTTTCGAGATGACATCACGCTTCACTGCGTTTCTATATGATTACACTACAGTGTTTCATCATCTTTCGAGTAACTCAACAGTGTCAAGGTAATAACACTCAAGGAGTTAGAACAGGGCGCTGTACTCCGGATGAACAGAGTTCAATGCCTCGCAGACCATCTCAAAAATCATACAGGGTTTCCAATTAGGGTTTGCCGCGCGGACTTGCAATTTCAGCCATTGCACAGATGTGGCCTGCAATCGCAATTTGTACAAACCCTATTTCCAATAGACCTCTCCTGAGCTTCAAGGGCGCTTCCAGGATTCTATTTCATATGTAAAACTCGATCCTATAAGCGGTGTTTTTTTGTGGAAAGAGAACAATATACGTCCGACACGTCTCATTTCTAAATAAGTTT